GACATCATCGTAATGGCATCACCTAATGATTATATTTTCTTAACTTTTATGTGTAAATGACTATATATAGACATAGAGCTCACCTGATATAATTATGGAATGCAAGTGAATAAACATATACATATTTCACTTGGTGTTTCTCTGGTGATTTTCACTATTTTCTGGCCTAGTTTTGGGTCAATTTTTCCATTTTACTGTATGGCATTTGAAGAACTCTTGTTTGATGACTTTTTATAACTTGCACACTTTTGGCTTTGTCAATTCAGGGGGAATGGGTTCCTGTTGTTATGGATGATTGGATTCCCTGTGAGTCACCTGGTAAACCTGCATTTGCCACCAGCAGGAAGAAAAATGAATTGTTGGTCTCTATCTTGGAAAAAGCTTATGCTAAGCTTCATGGTTCATATGAGGCATTGGAAGGTGTACTTGTCCAAGATGCTCTTGTTGATGTCACTGGGGGCGCGGGTGAGGAAATTGATATGAGAAGTACTGAAGCACAGATCGATCTTGCTAGTGGAAGGTTATGGTCTCAAGTGTTACGGTTCAATCAAGAAGGTTTTCTACTTGGTGCTGGTATTGCTTCAGGTTCAGATGTGCATATTTCTTCGAGTGGTATTGTTCAAGGCCATGCCTACTCAATATTGCAGGTATATCAAATACTACCTCCATCCCGTGTATTCGTCTAATTTGACTTTTTTGAGTCAAATTCGACAAACTATGGGCATCAATTAAATAAAAATAGTAATGTATTTTTGTATAAAATTATAACATTAGATTTATCTTGTATAGAACTTTTAAAATTTTAATTTATTGGATTAAATGCAATACACTATTTGTGAAGTAAATTGGCTCTCTAAATTGTGTGTGCTTCTTGCAATTGTGTAGTAGCAGTTGTTCAATGCAACTTTCGTCGCTCATCCCTCTTCAGGAAACAGCCGCTCTTTGTTTTAAACATTGTTTTAAACATAGGGGTCAGACTGCGTACATACGACCCCCCATCCCGCAATGGGCGGGAGCCGTTGAGGCATTGGGGGTAATGTTGTTGTTTTTGTGTATTAAATGCGATGCAATTTAAGAACAATTGATAATTAAAGTTCATCCAGTTTGACTCATAAAAGTCAAAGTAGACGAAAACACTAGGAAGGATGAGTATAATTTTTAGGTAACACATACCTACATACATATGTTGTTATTCGTATGCATGAAGATATAATAACGTCCTTTGTCCCAAAATTAACTTCACCCTTTACTTTTCCGTTCCTCCCAAGATAATCTTTACACTTCTTTCATTTCCTTTTAAGGCAATGAATATGCTGCTCACAATGGTTTTCTCTCTTCTAAACAAATTCCAACCACACTTTACTTTTAAAACACTTTTCTTAAACTCTATGAAGGCAAAGAGTGAATATAATTATGGGACAGAGTAAATATATTACTAGAACTTTTTATTTTTGGCATCAAAGGAAGAATTAGTTGTGCATTTTTTATTCATTGTCTTGGCATGTGTCTTTTAAGGTACGAGAAGTAGATGGTTATAAACTTGTTCAGATCAGAAACCCATGGCAAATGAGGTTGAGTGGAATGGTCCTTGATCTAATTAATCGCCTGAATGGACAGACGATGAAACACAAGCTCCAACATGTCCCCCAGGTAGCTGATTCTATTTGTTGTATTTAATATTTATATTAAGTACTTGGGTCGTAGTGTGCTATCTCTATTTTATGAATAAAAATAACTTTGTTTTGTATGCAAGGATTACTAGTCTNATCCAGCACTAGCTCTCTACCCACTATTCACCGGCAAACCCACGAAGAAGACGCCCAAGATCTAGATCTTGAGAAGAGATCTAATATTCGAAGATATTCGGCTATGAAAATATCTAATCGTCATCCATCTCTAGCGGGCATTTGAGAGGATGCGCAGCTCCGGCTCTGCATCGAAGAAGACATCCATCCATCCATCTACAACAATTGACTTGGAAGATGTGAGAGAGATGAAGGGGATCGAAGATGATAGAGGAATATGAAGCAAATTGGAGATGATAGAGGAGGATGAAGAGGAGTCAGAGATAAAGCTTTGAGGAATCGGAGAAGAAGATAAAGCCTAAAGGGGAAAATGAAGGAGATGATAGATGAGAGAGGAAGAGGAAGGGGAATTAGAGAGGAAGAAGAAGAGAATCAGGGACGATGAAGGGCTGAAGGAGAGAGTATAATTAAATGGATCTTCCAAAGAGTTAGAGATGTGAGGGTATAATTGACCTTTTGTTTAATTTTCCTTTCCATATATGGAAAGTGGACAAATACTCAGGGACAACCCAAAATGGAATACTGGACAAATACTGAGGGACAGAGGGAGTACTCCATATCGTATTCTTGTATTTCAAAAATTCAAATATCCAAGTATTGTGTCCCATAATAGTAGTCTAGTTTTGGGTTACGATACTTGAGTGTAGTTATTTTAAATTCAATTTATGTAAATCTTGGTTTAAATTAAATAATAAAACAAGATGTGAATTGACCATGTTATTGTAACAAATGATTAATGAAAATAGGTAGGGAATAGGGAAAGAAGATATGGTTTGGTCTTGTGAAGAGTGAACATACAATTCTTATGCGATGGAGGGAGTATTAAATAAAACCAAGCCTCATACACCCAATGCATATATCTAAAATCAACACAAAATAGATCAGTAGATAACAAACCATGCATCTATTTTTCTGAAATGAAACAATAAGTGCAATAATCGTGTTTAATTACTAAGAACAGTAACATGATACAAATGAAATGGCAGTAGTGACTATTGAGTAGCAGTGAAATATAAAATAGGCAGGAGAAGAAAACTAAAATAATATATTAGCATTTAAACTAGCAACTGGCAGCGAGCAAAATATTAAATATGCAATGTTAAAGAAAACTGAAAGAAAAGGCAGCTGGCAGTAAAAGAAGGCAAAGGAAACACAGTTGGCGGAAAAATGCCAAACATGCGGCAGCAACTATCAAAACTTGAATATGCATTAGCAACTTGAAAAAATATTAAATATGCAGTAGAATAGGAAAAGGAAAGAAGTAAAACAGAGTTATAAAAAGGAAAGAAAGAAAATATACTTCTAAACATTTGTAGTGGTGTATGGCCGTAGTTGTGGCAATGTCTCAAAATGGTGGTTATGTCTGGCAGCTGTGGAGGGTCAACAATGGCAAAACTAGGCTTTGCTATGCTCCGTCGCTCTGTCTCTCTTTATGCACTTTAGTTTCTCATCTTTCTATGCGTCTTTGTTAAAAACTTTATAGTTAATGTGTTGGCACAAGGGACACTGGTTTTTGCATTTTGGTTGTTTCTAATCAATAAACGTCTCCATGTATGACACTAACGATCGTTACCAAATATCAAAATATGTCAGTCTCATGGCCCTGTTCTGCCCTTAGTGCATATTAATTTGACGATGTGATAACAATGGTAATACCCCCTCTGTCCCAAAAAACATTAACTAATTTAACATTCATGGTGTTTAAGAAAAATGTTGAAAGGTAAAAGGTATATGATTGGAATTTTTTTAGATCATGGAGAAATTTCGTGAGCCACATGTTCGTTACATGTTCCAGTCCCATATTTATGAAGCCACATCTTTAGTTCTTGGGATGCTCTCTTCTGCATATTGATTTGATATGTTAAATTTATCTTCTTATTTTCATTTTTGTTGAGGAATGGACTTAGTGGCGCTGTATGTATTCTTGATGATGAGCCTACTAGCAGCGGCAGACATTGTGGACCCGTGGATCTCAGTGTTTGTTGTAGTAATTGAGTTAGCGTTTCTATTGCTGGGAGTTTCTTGTTGCTGGGTCTGAGCAAGGCATTATAGCTGGACAAGTTGGACTTAGATTAATTACCAAGGGCGATAGACAAACTACAGTCTCAAAGGAGTGGAGTGTAGGTGCGAGCAACATTGCTGATGGAAGGTGTGTTTTCTTTTACTTGTAGGGTTGCTTCTTGAACGCCATGTCAGTACTTATAGCTTGCTGCTGGTAACACCAAATCTCTCAAGTTTTTTATGAATATATCGGTGTGTTGGATTGCTCCTGTACTCTTATCTTGGCTAG